AGGGGGGAAGGAGATGGCCCATAAAGTCCCTGGCATGCGGGAAGGGGTATATGGGAGGCAACACAAAACCCCTGGCAGGTGAAGAATGGGGGACCCAGGCAGGGAGTGAAGAGAAGGGGAGAATCAAGGGCACACAGAGCTCCTGGCATGGGGGAGGGTGGGAGAGAGGGGGACATGGCAGGCACACAGAGCTCCTGGCATATGAGAGAGCAGGGAACGGAGGGACACAAAGACCCTAACATGGGGGGAAGCACACAAAACCCCCGCAAAGGGAGGCAGTATGGTGGGGGTTGCAAGGAGTCCCTGAAATAGAGCAGGCTGGGACACTGATGCACATGGAGCTAGCGGGGGCAGGGGGGAATGACTGGAGCCCTCGTATTTATAAGGTGTGCTTAGCCTGTCTGTGACCCCCTACCAGGTGTGACTGGTGCCAGCAGGGGGGACCCAAAGGGGCATGGAAGGGGCATGCGGGGCAGTGATGTCGCGAGGACAGGAAACGTAGCTGGGCCTTGTTTTCACTGGGCACATGGGCTGCAGGGTGCACCCATGGAGTAGAGGGGGACTCCACTGGGGCTTGAACTCCACACACGCCTCCCATCTCCAGCTCAGTGTCTGCTCTCCTGCCAGCCTGCCGCATGCTTCTGCCCCAGTTTCGGGTCCCAGCACTAGTGCTGCCCAGATGTTCCCCCACGAGTAGAGCCCTGCACAGATGAAAAATTTGGTATCCACATTCGTATCTGTATTTGCAAAAATGAGCCATGGCGATTCGCACCCATGTCCGCAAATGTGGAAATAAAGTGGCTATCTACGGATTTGCAGGGCTCTCGCCATGAAGCACACCTCCCACAGGGCTAGCGCTGGGGACAGGAGACTGGGCCAGCAGTGTGTGGCGCCGACAGGAGAGCTATGCAGCCAGGCTGACAGACACCTAGCTGGGATCAGGAGTCCCAGCCTATGGATTTGGGGGACTCCAGTGCTGATTTGGGTGGACCTGGATGCAAAGTGGATGGGTTGGGGCCCATTCAGGCTCACCCATAGCTACACTCCTGGGCAGCATCTAGTCTGGCATGATTTTGCGGAAATACTTTTAACGGAAAAGTTTTTCCATTAAAAGTATGTCCGCAAAAGAGCGTCTAGATTGGCATGGATGCCCAGTATAGACGCGCAAGAAGGCTCCGATGGCCATTTTAGCCATTGGGGCTTTCTTGTGCAAAAAATTAAGGTGCCTGTCTACAAGTATTCTTGTGCAAGTATTCTTGTGCAAGAGGGCTTATCCCTGAGTGGGAGCGTCAAAGTATTTGCGCAAGAAGCACTGAATTCTTACATTAGAACGTCAGTGCTCTTGTGCAAATTCAAGCAGCCAGTGTAGACAGCTGGCAAGTTTTTGCACAAAAGCGGCTGCTTTTGCGCAAAATCTTGCCAGTCTAGATGCACCCCCCGATGTGAGGGCATCCCATTTAGCAATTAACATTTTTTGGGGGGTGCAGGGGGGCAGTGCACCCCAAGTGCTACCACAAGTTGCATAGTATAATTAATGACATCATCCATCTGAAAGGACTTTACAAACCCCTTGCACAGGGGCCTGCTTCACCTGACACAGAAGTGCAGCCACCTCTGGTGCGAGATGCACTAGGCGGGCTGAGCTGAACAGCAGCCACTCCCCCCATTGCCTTTGCTCCCTATGCATCCTGCCAGCTGTGCTAGCCTTTCAGCCCGGCCTCAGGGACTAGGGACCAAGGGAAGAGCCACCTGGCGGGAATGGGGTGGGGAAGAGGATGGATGGGGGGAGGAAGTGGACCAACCAGGCAAGGGGGGGGTCAGGGATGAGCCCTGGGGGGACTGCAAAAGGTGGGTTGGGGGCACATAAGAGGTTAGCCCAGGGCAGGGGGCGAGGCCAAGGGTACATTTGACAGAACTAGTTTATCCAGGAGTAAGTTGGGGCCTAAACCCAACTCCTATCACGAGCTCCCGCCCCATGCCCATAAGCCCCGCCCCTTCACAACCCCCTCAATGTGCATAAACCACCCGCCCCCATGCACACAAACCCCGCCCCCTTAACGAGACCCCGCCCCATGC